GATGGCCAGGGGGTCGGCGGAGATGACGGAGAAGAGGTGCTGGAGGAGCGCGGCGGGCATGGGCTCGCCGTCGTTGGTCGCGTCGTTCATGCGGCGGAAGCCCTCCAGCGTCATGCGCGGCTGGCGGTCGGTGCGCTGCTTGTGCAGGTCGGTGTTCAGCATGATGACGGAGAAGGCCAGGACGTAGGCGGCGTCGGGGGAGGCCAGGCCCGACCCGGGGCAGGCGGCGTGGTAGGCGCCGCCAAAGGCCTCCATGATGCGGTCGATGCGCTGGCCCTCGCCCGGCAGGCGGAAGGCGTCCAGGAAGAGGCGCAGCGCGACGTCAAAGTCCAGCCCCGCCAGGTCGAAGGTCTGCAGATACGCCGTGCGCACGCCGGCGGAGAAGTCGTCGCGCTCGCCCAGCGCCTCGCCCACCGCCGCCTCGTTCAGGCCCGGGCAGCAGCGCAGGAAGCGGGCCAGCGTGGCCGGGTCCAGGGTGGGCGGCAGCAGGCGCGCCGCCTGCGCGTACTGCAGGCCCTTCTTGGGGTCGCGATTGTAGTGCTCCGCGGCCGAGGCCAGCAGCGACTTGAGCCGCTTCTCGGCACGCGCGCGGTCCGCGGGCGAGGTGGCGCGGGGCCGGGGGGTGGTCGGCGTGGCGGCTCTGGCGGGGCCGGCGCCCCCCCTCGATGGCGACGCCCGTCCGGACGCCTCCGTCCCGACTCTCGTCGCTGTCCCCCTCCCCGCGACCCTCGCCCCCTTCCTCGGGCCCCACGCTCCCCACCCCGCCCCAGTCCAGGAACTGGTCGGTCGGCGGGGCCAGGCCCGCGGCCAGCGGGGTCCACACGTCCACGTAGTGCCCGGGCGAGTCGAGCAGTCTGGGCACCCCAGGGTCGATGTCCGAAGCGCCCCCACCCTCCGCGACGTCGTCCAGGGAGGCCAGGAGGGCCAGCAGTCCTTCCAGCGCCAGGGTCTGGGCGCTGTCGCCCCCCGCCCAGGCCTCGCCGCCGCCCCCGCCGCCCGGCTGCGCGGTTTTGGACAGCAGGGCGCAGATGTCCTGGAGCAGGTCGGCGCGCTCCACGCGGCAGTCGGCAGCCAGGTACAGCTCGGCCGCGAAGCCCGGCTGGCGGCATAGGTCCAGCAGGCCCTCCAGCGCCACGCGCTGGCGCTCAGGTCCCGCGCCGCCGCGCCCCTCGGCCAGCGGCAGCAGCAGCAGGCGCACCAGGGCCTCCACCTGGACAATGGCACGCGCGCCCAGCCGCGCGTGCAGCGCCAGCGTGGCGCAGCACAGCGCGGCGAGGCGGGTGGGCGGCGCATCGGCCCCCGCCTCGAACATGGCGCGCGGCAGGTCGGCCGCCAGCAGCGCCGCCAGGTCGGCGTGCTGGGTCAGCGCGGGGCCCGCCGCGTCCAGCACCACCAGCAGCAGGCGCAGGCCCTGCAGGGGGAGGTCCTGGGAGGCGGAGGCAGCGGGGGCGGAGGCGCCGGGCGCGGCGGCGGGCCGCCGCCGCCCTTGGCCCGGATCAGGCCGATCACGAAGGCCAGGATCTCGCGCACGCAGTCGGGGCCGTAGCCCACGACCCCGGGCCGCCGGCCTGCGGTCGAGGGGCTGGCGCCGCCGTCCTGCGACGCACCGCGTGGCGTCGTGCTGATGGTCGGCATGGACCCGGCGTCGGTCGGGACGGGGTTCGTGACCGGCGCGACCGCGCCGCCCGCTGACGGAGGCGGCAGCAGCGACACGATGCTGTGCTGCGCCGGCTCCACCGCCTCCGCCGGGGCGCTGCCTGCGTCGCCGGCTTCGGTGCGATTGCCTCCGGCCGTCAGCGCAGCATCGCTCTCCGCATTCCCGGCCCCCGCGCCCTGCAGCTCGACCTCATCCTCGACCACCAGGTGGTGACCGCCGGCGGCAGCGTGGGCCGCCGCGGCAAAAGGGCTGCTCAGCTGGCTGCCCAGGTCGGCGGGCAGGCTGCCCAGGCGCGAGAAGACCGCGCCCACCATGACGGCCAGCGTGTCGCGCGAAGCGTGGGCCAGCACCTCTGTGCAGGGAGTGGGGGTGGTGGGGGTGGTGGGTTGGGAGATATGTGTGTAGGAAGGAGTGGGTGAGGGGCATGCCCAGGCGGGGTGAGACGTTTGCGGTCGCGGCGGGGTGAGGGCCTACAGGCGGGGTGGGGACGTGCTCACGCTCCAGGCAGAGGGAGCGAGGCGGCTTCCCCAGCTTACCAAAGCCCTCTCACCCGATGTGGCCCGCCCCTTCTCGGTCTGGTAGTGCCCGATGCGGTAGGCGGCCTGCAGCGCGTTGAGCAGCGTGTCGTGGGGCAGCGCGGCGCCCCAGGGCGAGGCCACCAGCGCGGCCAGCACCTCCAGGATGCGGAAGAGCACGCACTCGTCCGACCCCGGCACCGTGGCCTCAAACTTGCATGAGGTGACGGCGTCCGCCAGCGCCGCCACGGCCTCCCCCACCCCGGCGGGGAACGCGGCCAGGAAGCCGGCCTGGATCAGGCGGCGCAGGGAGCCCAGCGCCGCGCCGGTCACGGGGCCGCTGGTCTCAGGCGTGCGGATGACCTCGAAGAAGGGGTGCAGCAGGTGCAAGGGCTCCACATCGCCCAGGCCTGGGGGATGTGGAAGGGGGGTGGAAACATGGTGCAGTCGAGACGGGGACGGTGAAGTGCGTGTGGCCATCCGGAATACGAGAAGGCTGTGTACCAGCACCCATTACAGCAGGTGCAGAGGAGGAGCCAGGGGCGAGGCACAACACAGAGGGAGTCCCCCCCGTGTGCCGGGCCCCCTCCAGGACCACGCACTCTTCCAAGTGAAGATCTTGCGTCGAAGCTGCTGAAAGTCCTCCACCAGGCTCTCGGGCATCTCGTCGTCCTACGGGGGCAGGGAGGGGCGAGGTTGGGCGCCCGGATCGCCCCCTGGCGACGCAGAGGAACAGCCAGGGATGCAGAGATCAGGGTGGGAGTCATGATCACCCGGTGCATACCGTGTATCGCGTGGACGCAGCGGCCCATCCTCGCAGGGCAGCGAGGACTGTGGCCACCTCATTGTTCAGCAGGAGGGCCAGGTCGCCGACCTCCATCGTCACTGCTACAGCCACCAATGTCACCCCATGCCAAGCTGAGTCCCAGCCAAGTATTCTGATCGATGGTGAGTGCGCGGTGCCCTGATCGCCCCGTCCATCGCCCCGGGCCCGGTGCCGAGAGGCAGACAGGGGCCTGGGAGTGTGGTACCCTCCCTGGCAGCATACCACTGCTCCGGAACCTGCTCAGCATCCTTCACTAGCGATTTACATTGATATGTGCGATGGCAAACAGGGTATGCAATGGGCTTTTAAACAACCATCATAGGCGTGCCTGCCAATGGTTGCACGTCAATGCGCCGCAGGTCTAGTGCGAGTTCTTCCACTCCAGCAGGGCTGCCTTCTCAGCGGCAGACAGCTTGCCACCAACGATGGTCTGCAACGCGGGTGTGTGGGGGATGTGGTATCAACCCTGCGGTCTCTCTCTGGGCACAGCAGGTCAAATCTTGGCTGGCAAGGCTGCCTAAACCCCGCCCTGAACTGAGACTCACCTCCAGCTTGGCAGACGCCTCATCAGCGGCCGCCTTCGAGCCCTCAACATCATGCTGCGTGATATATCAGGTGAACAGGGGAGAGTTGGTTGCCTGGAGATTGCCTCAATGCACATGCACATGCACGCGCGAGGATGACGGACACACCCCAGGCTCACCTTGGATGCCTGGGCCGCCACCTTCTGCAGCAGCGTGCGGAGCAGCTTCTCCTCCTCCTGCGCAGACAAGGGGACCAGGGCTTGAGCAGGTCGTACGTGACTCCTCCAGAATGACATCACCAGCTCGTTTTCAGAGAGGCACCCAAAGGGCTGGGCGCTCGGAAATGTGGCCTGGCCTTGTCACCTTCCGGAAGTAGACGGTCTGTGGCAAGGTCCGTGGGAGGGGTGGGGATAAGTTCGGTGATACCAAAGTATGGGTTTACACCCTTGCATAAATGTCAACGAAATCGTGCTTCACGCACCTCCTCGCCGCGCTCCTTCTCGCCGTAGCCTGCACAGGGAACCGGTGTCGAGCAGGTGAGGCAAGGCCACCGACACAACATCCTTCCCACACCCTATCATTTCAGCTCCGCACCCTTCATTCCATCGTGAGCATACGCGCGCTGTCCAATGACAGAGGTCACGCGAGGCGCAAAGGTGCTCGATCGCTTGACGACGGTATGCAGCATCTTTCTAGCTTAGACTCGCGCAGTGTGGGCGTGCTTCGATGATGATTGACCTCAAGATGAGCACGTTCTTGCCCGATGGATTCGGCCCGCTCTGTCATGTAGGGTCCAGGCCCGCTCGATTACTAGTCGGGCCTCTGCACCATTTCTTCCCACACGAACCGCCCTCCCATGCATATTGCATGGTCGACCCACCCTCACCGCCATGTCCACATCGCCATCCCCCCTCAGTTCTCACACTTGAGACCCATACCTGGTGGCCTCCCCTGCTGTCATGGAGGGCCGCGACCCCACCGTCCGCATCGCGGTGGTAGGGGACCCTGGCGTGGGCAAGACGAGCCTCATTACCGCCGCTGCGACGGAGACCTTCCCTGATCACCCCCCTCCCGTGCTCCCCCCCGCCATCCTCCCCGCCGAAACCGTGCCGGAGTGCGTGCCGGTGGTCATCACCGACACCTCCTCCCGCCCCGAGGATGCAGCAGCCCTGGAGCTGGCGGTGCAGGAGGCCTCCGTGGTCGTCCTGTGCTTTGCCATGGACAGGCCGAACACCCTGGCCAGGGTATCCAGGCACTGGATCCCGGAGCTGCGCCGGATGGCGGGGGGCGCCCACGTCCCGGTGCTGCTGGTCGGGTGCAAGGCCGATGCCCGGCCCGCCGACCACACCCTGCAAGCGGCCGTCGTGCCCATCCTGCAGAACAACCCCGCCGTGGAGACGTGCATGGAGTGCTCCGCCAAGAAGCTGCAGTACGTGGGGGAGGTGTTTTACCTCGCGCTCCGGGCGGTGGTGCACCCCACCGCCCCCCTCTTCGACGCCCAGGCCCAGACCCTGAGGCCCCTCTGCTCTCGCGCCCTCAAGCGCATCTTTATGCTCTGCGACAAGGACAAGGTGGGGCTGCACGGGGCAGGGGTGCATGCTGAAGCAGGTGCCAGCGGCCAGAACGGGGGCGGTGTGGGTTGCTGGAATGCCAGGCTGTGTTCATCGATGAGCCCTGAAGAGTGCAGGGCGCCGTCTGCACCAGCACTCGCGCCTCAACCCTTCTGCCACCCAACTCTGCAGGATGGGATTCTCAACGAGGCGGAGCTGAACGCCTTCCAGATCCACTGCTTCAATGCCCCTCTCCAGACCGAGGAGTTGATAGGCGTGAAGCAAGTCGTCGCGGAGCGAGTTCCCGAGGTACTTCTGGGTGCAGAAGTCATAGCTCTGTGCTGTAGGAAGACGCAGTCATTTTGGGGGAAGATTGAGGGAAAACCGGTGTGAACTTGTGTAGGATACAAGTCCAGCAAGCCTGGGCCGTATGTTCCCCTACGGGTGAGAGCAGGACTGTATTTTGCGTGGAGGGCGCTCCTTCTCTGATCCCTGAGAGGGAAGCTCTATGGATGGGAAGGCTGAGCTGGGACCCCACGACGCTCCAAACTCCCAACCTTCAGGGCGTCCAGAACGGCGGGCTAACCCTGCCGGGCTTCATCTTCCTGCATGCGCTGTTCATCGAGAGGGGGCGGCTGGAGACCACGTGGGCGGTACTGCGGCGGTACGGCTACAACAACGACCTGGTGCTGTCCCAGGAGACGCTGTCTGCCGTGAACTTCTCGCACGCCCCAGACCAGGTCAGTTGAGGTGGGAAAGGGGGGGGGGGTAGAGAGGGTGACGGTTATAGGAGCAGACTGGAAGGTCTGGGATATCTTGTAGGACTCCTGTGGGCCATGTGCTGTGCAGCCCTGCTGCCTCAGACCCCGCTTCTAGCTGATCACCATCTTTCCTCTCTTTCCTCCCGCTACAGGTGTTGGAACTGTCGGAGGAGGGGCGTGCCTTCTTCACCAGCGTGTTTGAGCGATGCGACGTCGACGATGATGGCGTCCTCTCGACGCGGGAGCAGGAGGAGATGTTCTCCACCTCGCCCGGCAGGTGTGTGTATGGGGAGAGGGAAAGGTTTCCTGTGGCCTAGTGCAAAGGGGCAGCTGGGTCCAGGGACGTGCCCCTGGACCCGCATGCCAGCTGTGACACAGCTGGCGTTCCCACTCCTCGTGACTCTTGTGTAGATTGATGAGGCCCCCCCACCCCACCCCAAGTCCCACCAATGCCTTCTGCCTCCGCAGCCCATGGTCCACCCCCGCCTACGATGGCGTGCTGGTGGAGACGAGCAAGCGCGGCCTGCTGTCCCTGCGCGGCTTCCTGGCCAAGTGGGCGTACACCACCGCGACCGAGCCGGAGGTCACCCTCGCCTACGCCCTCTACTTCGGGTGAGGGGCTGTTGAGGCTCATGAGTGTGTGGGAGACGGGAA